CAGCTGGACTGACCTTGTTATCTTTGCTGTGGGCTCCCTGTGCTGCTGCACTCTCCTCCATTTGCTGATGGTCATTTTTGCACCACAGAGGGCAAGAACAGGGAAGGGACTTGGGAAAGAGCAGGGAATGCAGAGGATGCCCATGAACTGTGTGATGTGTCTCAGCACTGAGTGGCCCTGGGGGGAGCTGCCCTCAATCCAGGTTTTACACCCACCTGAAGCTCTGAGGTGCTGATTTGCCCCTTGTTTTTAATGCTGAGCCTGGCCCTGGTGGAAGGGGAGTGCTGGCAAGGACACCCAGAGCATGCCTGGGGTTCAGAGCCATGGGGAAGGAGCTTGGTCCTTGTTAACAAAACAGCCTGGAGGGCAAATTAAGGTGAGAAAGGCAAGTGGAGAGAGCAGAGAGGTCACAGAAGGATCTGCCAGAGCTGCAAGGACAGAAAGTGCAGAAATACTTCATCCTCCTGCAAAGCTGCTCCAGCAAGGCTCCCATGCACAGACACATCTGGAGGAACAGGGGCACTTGTGTGCCAGGACAGGCTTCTCAGTGCTGTCCAAAAGGGAACATAGAGTTCTGACACCTGTGTGTCACCCACCAAAACTGAGATAAAGGCTGGAGAGCCCCGTGTGCTCTGCCTCTGCCTCCAGAGAGCCCCAGAGCAGCCAGGCCCAGGTGTGGCACAGCCCTGCCCCACAGAGCTCTGCTGCTGGGCACCTGCAAACACCCCTCCTGAGACAGCCCCAGCCTGAGGAGAGCTCAAATAGCATTGAGAGCAGATAGAAACACCTTTAATGCACCTACAGGCAAAATCAGGGATGTTCTCTACCCTCAAATGGCTGAATTATACTGAAAAAGTAATTAAATAACTAAGAAAAAATTACCTCTCTCCCAGCTGAAACTGGGACAGGACTTAACAAGATTTTTCATGTCACTTCATTTTCTGGGCTAGATGCAACTCCTCCAAAGCTGAAGACAGACATTCATCCCAAGGAGCTGGATAAGGGGAACTTCTCCTCCTTGACAGGGGAAGTCACAAACAAAATTCCCCACCACACACAACTCATCAGAATTAACCTAAAGGAGACTGCAAAGCCTGAATCCTGCAGCAGCACTGCCAGAAAAGCCCCTTGGAGAGAGATCACTGTTTTCACTGCTTTTGGAGAGAGCACCTGCACAGCAGAGAACAGTGACCTCTCTCCAAGGGACTTTTCTGGCAGAGCTGCTGCAGGATTCAGGCTTTGCTGTCTCCTTTACCAGACACTGCTTTCAATGTCCACCTTCACTCCAGCCACCTGCACCATTCCCATTCATTGTTCCCAAGCATTTTCCAGTGGGTGCAGTGCCCACAGCACCAGGACAGGGGGTTCTGCCCAGGAGCAGATGCTCTGCAGCATTCAGAGGTGTGAGGACACCTGACAATGGTTCAGTTGTCCACCTCTTGTTATCCTGTAAATCACTGCCCAGCTGAGCCTCTCTGAGTTCCTCCGATGCCTCAGGAAAGCTCACAGACCTGAATTCTTTGTGAAAATTCTCTCTGCAGTCAGGCTCAGTGGGTTTGGAGAGAATTCATGGTTTGTTCGTGTCACAGGGATCCCACCCGTGCTGTAAAGACAAACTGTGACCTCCAAGTGTGAGCAGGGAGCGATTCCAGCTCCCCATGTGCCAGTCCGGGAGATCTCAGGGCAGGCAAGGCTGCACCACCCTCTAGTGCACACCCACAGCAGTGCCTGTGCTGAAAGGCTGGGGAAAATTCCCTAATCCAGCCCGGCTGAGCCTCCCCGAGCTGGGCTGGCACCAGCCCTGCAACAGCAGCTGGGAGCAAAGGGAGAGAGCCCTGAGAGGGAACCCCAGAGCAGAACCAAGGGGCATCCTGGCCTTGGCACAGGGAAAAACCACTGCCCTGCACCCAGCACTGTGCACACACTGCACCCCAGATCGCTGGGACCCCAGATCCCTGCAATCCCAGACCCCACACCCTCAGATCCCTGGAATCCCAGACCCTGCACATCCAGCAGCCTGCACCCCTGGGATCCCTGTAACCTGCATCCCTGGCACCCCAGCACCCTGCACCTCACACCCCACATTCCTGGATCCTGGCAGCTCAGATCCCTGGAATCCCAGGCCCTGCAACCCATATACCTGTATCCCTGGAATTCCAGACCCTACATATCCAGCACCCCAGACTCCAGGACCCCTGGCAGCCCAGATCCCTAGAATCCCAGATCCTGCCCCCCACATCCCTGTATTCCCAAATTCCAGATTCTGGACATCCAGCACCCCACACTCCTGGATCCCTAGCAGCCCAGATGCCTGGAATCCCAGATCCTGCACCCCACATGCCTGTATCCCTGGAATCCCAGACCCTGCACCTCACATCCCTGTATCCCTGGAATCCCAGACCCTGCACCCCATATCCTGTATCCCTGGAATCCCAGATCCTGCTCCCCATATCCCTGTACCCCTGGAATCCCAGATCCTGCACCCCACACCCCTGTATCCCTGGAATCCCAGATCCTGCCCCCCATATCCCTGTACCCCTGGAATCCCAGATCCTGCACCCCACAGCCCTGGATCTCTGGAATCCCAGATCCTGTACCCCATATCCTGTACCCCTGGAATCCCAGATCCTGCACCCCATATCCCTGTACCCCTGGAATCCCAGACCCTGCACCCCACACCCCTGTACCCCTGGAATCCCAGCCCCTGCACCCCATATCCTGTATCCCTGGAATCCCAGACCCTGCAGCCCATATCCCTGGATCTCTGGAATCCCAGACCCTGCAGCCCATATCCCTGTACCCCTGGAATCCCAGATCCTGCACCCCACACCCCTGTACCCCTGGAATCCCAGATCCTGCCCCCCACACCCCTGTACCCCTGGAATCCCAGCCCCTGCAGCCCAGTGCAGCCAGCTCAGCTCCTGCCATGCAGGGTTTACCTGCACAACAGGGGTCTCTGTAATTCCTGGCACAGGAGTGAAACCTTTCTCATCTCAAAACAGGGAAGATTTTCACTACCAAAACGTGCAAGCAGGAGGAGATGTTCACTGCTAAAATTGTTTTCTGGAATTGTGTCTCCTTGAGCAGCACCAGGCCAGGAGAGCACGGACTGGCAGCCACCCCCTCTCAGCTGCCCAGCTCTCCCCTCCTCAGCCAAACTTGCCACCAGCACTGGGAATGGCCAGTTCATATTCTGGGCTTGAGTTTCTTCATGGATATAAAAAACTGAGAAAAATCACCATTGTGTGTGTGACAGTTCCGCAGGTACAGGCCTTTGTACCAAGCAGTAAAAAAAATAATCATCCTGGATGAGAAATTCCTGCTGCAAGAGAGCAGCACATCAGCCTTGGGATATGGGAAATATGGGAAACCTGAAGTGACCAAGAGAATCCCCAAAACAATCCTAAAATAACCTCAAAGTCTGAGCAGAGCACGGGCCTGAGCAGGTTCATGGCCAAGGCTTGGCAGCAGGGTGGGATGTTGTTTGGTCTAAGTTACCAGGACAGTTTAAACAGTTTGAAACCAAAACTCTGCAGGAAAGACCCAATTGTTACACCCAGGTGCTGTTTCCAACAAATCCAGTATCAGGAAGTTGTTCCACAGGTGCTGTTTCCAACAAATCCAGTACCAGAACTGCTGAGAGGCTCCCAAAGGCAGCTCTGACCCCGGGAGCTGCAGTGGAGACAAGAGGAACACAGGAAATGTGGGGTACAGGACAGTGCCCCTGTGTCAACCACAAACATCTCCCACCTTTCCTGCTCCCCCACAGGGTATCTCCTTCCTGCACCAAAGCAGAAACAAAGCACCAAGGTGGTGAAGGGAGGGTGTCACTGCCCTCACACAGCATTTCTGAGCTCAGGAGGAAGAAAAACATCCAGAGCAGGAGGGAGCAGCACTGGGGAGGGAGCTCCACCCCTCCACTTAACTCCTGTGTTTGTTTGGGTGTTTTGGACACAGCTTCAGGAAACACAGGAGTCTCCTGAGCATGACTTGGCACTCAGAGCTGAGTCCCAGAAACAAGAGCTGATGGGGGGGAAAGAAGGAAGGAGGATTTAGGTTGGGTATCAGGACAAGGTTCTTTCCTCAGAGGGTGGTTGGGCACTGAACAGGTCCCTGCACACTCCAGCTGAGGCAGAAACAAAAGCAGAAGTGGAACAGAAACAGTGACACAAGTGAGCCTTGAAGGACAGGCCTGCCAGCCTGGAGGAGGGAAGCTCTGGGGGACCCAACTGCAACCTTCCAGGCCTGCAGGGAGCCTTCAAGGAAGGTGGAGAGACTCTTTACAAGGCCTGGAGTGCCAGGACCCAGGGAATGGCTCCCACTGCCAGAGAGCAGTGCTGGATGGGATTTTGGGAAGGAATTGTTCCCTGTGAGGGTGGGCAGGCCCTGGCAGGCCCTGGATCCCTGGCAGTGCCCAAGGCCAGGCTGGACAGGGCTGGGAGCACCTGGGACAGTGGGAGGTGTCCCTGCCATGGCAGGGGTGGCACTGGGTGATGTGAAAGGTCCCTTCCAACCCAGGAAATTTCTATGATTCTGTTTTTTCACAAACTGAATCTCACTGCACCTACACTCAAGTCCTACTGTCACTGAGAACATCCAAGCCTTGCTCTTTGTAACTGGCTCCAGGACTCACCTCAAGCTACTCCTTTGGAGAAAAGTTGGGAGAAACGGGGAGAGACTGGTTCAACTTCTGGCTCTCTTTGTGGAAATCCATCTGAGAATGGGCTGTTGACTGCTGCCCAGGTTGGTGGCAGCACTGGACACCTCTCAGAGTGCAGCACATCTCACCATGTGCCACATGAGCTGGAACCTCAAACAGGAACTGGCTTCAGTGGAGCTCATCTCCTCTGAGTCTTCCTCCTCTTGAGCATCTTGTCCAGAGACCCCCAAGGGGCAGACCAAGGCCAAAGGAAGCCATGATCAGCCCCAAGAGCCCACACCACCTGCTCAGCCACACAGGGCTCCACACTCACTGAGCAGAGGTTAAAAACACAGGATGCTAAGCTTAAAAATATGCATTTTCTTTTTTTCTTTTAAAAATGTACAGTCAGATTTCAAGTGGATCTACAAGAAGACACTCAGCTATCTTTAAGAAAAGTAAACCTTGCAATGCACTGCATACAGTTTTCTAACCAGCCAGAGTCAGTGAGTTGGGTGAACTGCAGCGAATCCTGAAGGAGCTTCAGTGGCTTTGTTTTTGTCTCCACCACGTGGGCACAGACACCCAGAAGGCAGCAGAGGCTCAGCTCCTCTCCCCTCAGGCCTGGCCTGCAGCCCAGCTCAGCGTGAGGCTGGGGTGGGCACGGTGGGCAGGGGCAGCTCCATGGAGGGAGTCTCAGTCACTTCAGCTGGGCTGGGCTTGCGCAGCTCCAGTTTCTCACTGAGCTGGTTGTAAAGCTCCTTCACAGCTTCCCCACTCTGCAGGGTGACAATCAGGGACAGGGAAACAGGACAGTCACACTCCATTCTAGCCAGGGCACCAAGTGTGCTTCACCCTGTGTGTTTAACACAAACCAACACAGCAGGAGGAAGCCACAAGGTAATTAATTAGGCCACAGCTTGGTAGCCTTGGAAAGCAGAGCTGGTGTGCCATTAAACAGGGCTGGCAAGGCAGCTGCTTTCACTTGCAATCAGAATTCCCCTTCTCCTGCTTCCCTTCCTACCTGCTTGGTGGGCTCCAAAGCTTTCTGCAGAGACTCCAGTTTGGCTGGGGCCACTTTGTGATGCAGATGCAGCAGCAGCCTGAGCACATGTCTGTGCACGTTCTCCTTCCTGCAAGAGCCATTTGAAAGCACAGTAACCAAGACAAACAAACATCTTGAGAACAAGGAAGCCAGAGCAACAGAATAATTCAACCCACCACAGACTTCATTATAATTATCCCAAAACCCCTGAAAATTGCAGCTTCTGGAAGGGGCTAACTTAGTGTAAGCACTATCACTGCCTTAGACCTTCAAGGATTCAAGGAATTGTTCAACAGCAGTGGATTACCTGCACAACCATGAGGAGGGAGGGGGAGATTTTAAGCACAGAGAGTGTGGAGGGAGCAGCAGAAGCAGCAGCAGATGCTGCTATGCTCCAGCAGGAATTTCAGCCACTTTCAGGGAAGCTTTCTGGAGGCTGAACTTGCCTGCAGGCCACCAGCTAAACCAGAGTGACTGACCAGAGGTAACAACAGATTTTTGCACACTGCTGATACTGCAAAGAGCTGAAGTTAACTCTGCATAGCCAGAATTACTGCAAAGCCTGAAGGATATTCTCCTTTGCAACTCCACCTTAGGGATAGTGAATAGCAGTTTAGATAATAATTCACAGTCAAGACATATCCATTTGGCTGATAAAAACTTCACCCCAAAACATGCACCTTTCCTTAAAGGAAAATATCAGCATCAGGCTGATATTTCTGCTGCCTGTGAAGAAGAATTTGATGAACTACTAAACTATTGCTCAGAGCAGCAAAAGCTCTGTCAGGCATTCTGTAAACTCCCTCTCTCCAGGGAGAAAAATCTGCTTTACCTGGAGCAGGCAGTGAGGAAGAAGCCATCAAAGAGACTGGTGCAGAACTCCTCAAGTGCAAATTCATCACTGAGCAGGGTGAGGTTACCAGTGAGCAGGTGCAGGAAAATGTCACTGAAGGCCAAGTCACTGAATGTCTCAACTACAAAACATGGCAAGAGACACAGAGTGACAAGGATGTGCCAACACCTGTCCACACAGCTCCTGTTCATGCTGAAAATCCTGCAGTGAGGTTTCATCATGGAATGGTTTGGGCTGGAAAGGACCTTAAAACCCATCCAGTGCTACCCCCAGGCATTGTCAGGGACACCTCCCACTGTCCCAGGCTGCTCCCAGCCCTGTCCAGCCTGGCCTTGGGCACTGCCAGGGATCCAGGGGCTGCCCCAGCTGCTCTGGGCACCCTGTGCCAGGGCCTCACCATTCTCAGAAGGAAGAATTTCCTCCCAGTATCTAATGTAAGCCTACTTCCTTTCAGCCATTTTTTTCTCATTTCCTTTGGTAACAGGCAGCCCAGGCAGGTGGCTTTGATCCTTCAGACATACAAGATTAGGAGCAGATTGCTCCAGAGCTCTCCTGCAACTCATCCCAGAGGAGTCAGTGAACAAGATAATACTGGTGAAAACATTAAGGCTGTGTTCAGTCTTATTTTGTTACCAGTTTTTCCACCACACAAAGGCAAGTCCCAGCAACTTCTGGCCACCTGCAGTCACTGTGGGCAGCAGCAGAATTGGGGCACCTGCTCTATTATCTTCAGATTCATTCTCAAATGATCGCATTGTTAATGGAGGCCTTGATGTAAGGAACCACTGACCTCAGCACTGCCCCTAAACTCTCACATCAGCAGAACCCAAACACTCCTGCAAGGACTCACAATTAAGTCACAGAAGAACCAAAGGCAGAAGAACATCATGTCCCTGGTGTGACATCCCTGTCACTCCAGGTTTAGTGGCCTCCTGGGTGTCCAATACAAGGCAAACAGAAGATGAGACAAAAACTTACCAAGTGCTGGCAGGAGCCTCAGAAAAGCATTCTTGTTCCTCTGTTTGGTGATGTGAAGGATGTAATAGAGCCCAATCTCACAAGCTATTCTGTTCTCCTGCAGGAACCTGTTATGGCACAAGCAAAGTTTATTCCTCAATCAAGCAGTATTTTTTTTAATTTTTAAGAGGTTTAAAGTACTTTTGGGATGGTTATCAAGCAGGTACAGCAGTGGCTAATCTCAAACCCACTGAAGAGCAGCTACTCAGTGAGTGAGCAGATGGATCATCCCTGTGTTCACTACCACACTCCAGAAAAACTGAACATTCAGCAAACAGCTGTGTTGAACTGTCAACATTTATAATGCATTCCTGATTAAAGTGCTGTTCAAAATGGGCTTTAGAAGAAGCTCAAATACTCAAAAATTATACAAAATCCAATGTTTTAGTCTCCCAAAAGTCAAACATAACACTGTGACAGAGGAGAGCACAACTACCAGGACCCAGTATCCCAGATTCTGGCACACAGACAAGAATTGTGCTAGAAATCAGTGGAAGATCTGAACACAGCAGAGCATACAGAGGTTTTAATTATCTTTCTGATGTCCCTGGAGTGACAGGTTATCAACAGAGAGAGTGTGGGTGTCAAAAATGCCAAAACTTTATGATTTCCAATAGTGCTCTTCAACATGAGCACTCATCCAGCTGTACCCAAATATCCCCCCAAACTCAGCATCCACTGCCTGGGAAGCTGAACAGAAACACCAAATACTCTCATATTCAATGACAGAATGGTCCATTAGAGGAAATAGTACTTCATGTAGATAAATTTTATTTGAGGGAGCACAAGGGAAAGCTGGTTTGTTAAAGGGAAGGTTCAAACTCGATGAATTAGCACTGAATCTCATCCCAGGAAGCCCTGCCTTTAGCACAGGCAGTTTTCCCCTGCCAGGTCTGGCTGGCTCCCTGCTGCCTTGGTGCCACACCCTGCAGGGGGTGGGGCCAGGCACGTACTTGGTGAAAGCCTCGGGAATGGCGCTGGGGTAGGGGATTGGTCCCTTCTCCTCCGAGGGCAGCTTCTGATCCACTGTGAAGGTGTGGTCATCCACCACAAAGGACATCAGCAGCGGCAGGAACCTGGTGATCAGCTCGGCTTCCTGCGAGGGAGGGAAGGACAAAGGGAAGAGAACAAAGCCATCATCAGTTACTTCATGCCACCTGATGGTCCTGAAGTGCAAGGCAGTGTGAGGAGCCTCACCCTACTGTGAGGAAAACCAGCTTACAGATATCCAGTTCCAGTCACAATTCCTGAATAATTCACTTCAACATGTTCCATGGTAACTAGGAAAACTCTGCTTCATCTCACTATAGGAACACTCCTGCTCAAACCCTTTCTTTGGACAATTGTGTTCATTTCTTCTGAGAGGCCCTTCCCAGCACTGCTCAGGCATGGGATGTGTTCAGGATGACATCAAACTGCTGATGTCAACAATCACTGACTCCCAGCATGGCCCAGGCTTATTTGTGGTAACACAACCACAAAGAAATCAGATTTTAAAGACTGATTCAGAGACTCCCTTTGGAAAGAAACTGAGCATTTTCCCTTATAGGTTCATGAGAGAGCACAAATGACAGCACTACCTTCAGAATTACTGGTCCCTCTCACTGCTACAGTCCCAGTGTTATGCACACCCTCCCTGGGTGAATTTAAACATCCAAGCAGCCAGGAGTGGATGCATTTTAGAGACTTCAAATGTGCCCCTAGATGTTTATAAAACATTTACTGCTTTATAGTTCAGAACAGAAACAGCAAATTCCTCCTGAGGAACAGCCCTGCTGTGCAACACCAGGGTTGGCCCTCCTGCCCTCAGCTGAGCTACACCAGGGATTCCTGTAACACTGGGAAAGGATTTCCAAAGCATGGAAAGATTACAGCTCAATGTGGCATTACTTTAAACTGCTGTAACAGAGAGCTGAGAGGGAAAAAACATTCTTCTTGTCAATGAAAAGCTTCTGAACTGCTACTAGAGTTTGAGACCAGTCCTGGAAATCCTGCTTTCCTCGTGCAAGACATGTTCTACAAACACATCAGTTGTGTGCAAGACTCCAGGAAAAATGAGAGAGCAATGAGCAACCAGTGGAGTATTTAACAGAGGTACAGGCTGATTTTACAACAGTAAGGACCAGGCACCCATGGAAATAAAAAGGTGGGTAATGGAAGCTCTCAGCATGTCCAGATCAGCTGCTCTGTGACCACTGTTTTTCCCCAAGAAAGCTTTGATGAGACATTTGGAGAACAAATGTTTAATCAGAAATGCAATAAAATAATAAACAAGTCTAAATTTGATGAATTGTGTTAAATTCTTAACATCAAAAGGGCTCACCATTTTTGGTTCCTTGAAGACTTGGCTGTCAATCATGTCCCAGGCCCCCTGTCCCAGAGACAGCATCCTAAGGAGCAGCAGCAGATCCGGGCTTTCCTCCAATTTTAAGGGAAGAAGAACAACAGCTATTTTGATCTTCACATGAGATATTTATTTGGAAGAAGTGGTTTATATTCAAAGCTGTTCTGGATTAGCAGCTTTGTCCAAGACTGCTAAAGGCATTCAGTTCAAGCTAATTGAAAACTGATCCTCAAATGGGCATCAAATAACTGCCACACCTCAGGGTTTGGGGAGGGTTTGTAAATTTATAATGCACCAGGAAGTTTGAGCACATCTTTTTGAAATGTGTCCAGCCCAATTAGTGCACTGGAATATAATGTGTGAGAGGATAACCCAAGTCATCTCAGCAGAAGAAAGGAGGAGAAAGGGTGTGTAAGAATGGATTGTTTGTGTCCTGAAACCCAAACGACTTTCAGTCTTAAACTGTCACAAGGAAGTTGCTCCATGCAAGAGCATTTAACAGCTCAGGGATAAAACAGCAAGTGGCTCCCATTGTTCAGACACCTGTCAGGGTGCCCTTCTTTAACCCTTCAGCACCTCCTGCAGACTGCACTTGCAGGAGCTGTGTTTTATCTCAGCCACCAGACCAGAGCTGTGCAAACAAACCCATGGCATTCAGCGTGGCAGGAGGAAGGTGCTGCTGTCAGACAAACTGATGGAGGGACAAAGCAGGGAGGCACAGATTCTACACATTATTCTGGATTTGCACAGCTGCCAGCCAGAATGAGCCATGCAAAGAATTCATGGTCAGTTTGGAGAGTTCCAACATGCCCACCATGTCCAAAGAGCTCCTGCAGAGCTCTGCAGCAGGTGCTGCAAATGGACAGGAGTCGTGTTTCCCTTGTTCCAATTGCCACATTTGAGAACTTAATGAGACTTGGATGGTGCCAGTCCTTCCCTGAGGGCTGTCAGTCAGCCCAGAGCACAGCCCAGGTTAGCTACACAAGCTGCAATGCTTACCCTGGGTAAGGTGTCCTGCCCAACCAGGTCTTGCAGGTGCCTTATGGTGCTCAAGGCTAAGGTGTTAATGGCAAAGGGATCACACAGGATCATTGACAAGTCCCTGGGAAGAAGTAAAAACCAAACACTTGTCATACACAACCAACAACCCCATTGTACAGGTCCAAACCCAGCTGTGTGCACCTGATGAACCTTGTCCTGCCTTGTAAAGAAATAACACTCATGGTGGTTTTGATGTGAAAGAGCACAAATAACAACTGCTGAAAGTCTTCTGCACTGAGATCAAGCACAAAATCCCCCACAGCCAGCTGAAGGTCAGCTGGGAGACAGCCCACAGACAGTGGAGCTCTGGTGGCCCCAGCTCTTTGAGCTGGCAGGTTTTAGCCATCTCCAGAGTGCTGAGGACAGAAAGGTCTCAGAGGCTTTTGAAAAACAACAAGTAAAAGTGAATTCTTAAATAGTTTAAAATACCAATTGACAAAATCTGAAAGTACCAGCTAAATAAAATACTGTGAGGGCAACCTTGCAGAAATATAAGTGTACCAGATCACAGCAGGGTTGTCATTTGAAGCTAATGAAGTACTTCAACTGACAAACATCAGCAGCCCATTTTCTCTGGGTTTAAAGCCAGAGAAGTCATTCATCATAAGTTATTCTGACTCCTTAAGAAAGGCTAATGAATTTTGTTATGAGGCCACAGGGGAGACTCAAGGGTGGCAAGTGAAGCAGTGCAAGCTCTGCCACCAGGATGTGCTTGGCTGTGCCCCAGCACACTGAGGGATGTTTGGGATGTGACTGCACAGAGGGGCTGTGGAGGTTTGCTGGCTTTAGGGAAGAATGAACAGCTGTCAGATGCTGTGAGTGCCAGGAAGCCAAGGTCACTTTCCCAATGAACAGCCCAAGTGCCTTACCCCAACACTTGTTCTTGTCCTTTCTTCACCCCATCCAGGAATCCTTGCAATTCCCGAGCTCTCTTGTTGTCCACGAACTTCTCCCGAATGCAGGCATCGAGGCACCAGGTGAACTGCCAGCAAATGGAGGGAGCTTTATGAACTCATTCAACCAGCAACAGAACACATGATGTCAGAGAAAACAGGCTCAGAATGACCTCAAAATATCTGCAGTTGAGATGCTTCATTAGGGCACCTAGGCACAGCACCACACTCGTGACAAATACCCCAAAAGCAGATTAGGAATGCCCAGGGAAGTTAACCTGGGGTCACTTTCTCCACTTCCAGGGAAGGCATTCCCTGGCAATTAAGGAGCAGGCATTTATTAAATCCACCAGTGCCCTGCACACCTGTAGATTTACACAAGCAGGAGACTGAGAAAGAAGCAGCATTACTTAGAAACAAAAAATGTGGTTTATTTTGGCCATTGTAATAGCACTCCCACTCTCTAAATAAAGGAATATTGTCAGTGGAGGTACTCCTTCTTTAGAGCTGTATTACTGCACTATTTTTTAAGCAGAATACATGTAAAACTTAACAACTACCTCAGAGAAAAGGCCTTGTTCCAGGTCAGAGTGATGCTACCACAAACAAGGGGCCAGTAACAAGATCCTGCTGTGACATTACCACATCTGTCACTTCCCAATATTTGAATAGTTTCATGCTTTCATTTTCATGGTTTCATTCATGTTTCCTGTTTTCATTTAATATTCAAAGTATTTACTGTTACACACACAGTTTACTGACAGATAGAGCAAATCTACAACTGGGAGGGAAGCCTGGAGTAAGAACCTGGAGCCAGCTGATGTTTTTTATTATTTTTGCAGTATCCACATAGAATAGATGTCAGATTAGACATCGCTTTTAACACTGCCAAAGTACCCTAAATTTGAATGACGCATGGACTATGAAATGAAAGCAAACTGCTGGTTAACCAAGATGAAGTTTTCACCCAAAGGTCTGAGGAATATAAGATGACATTTAGGTCCAAGGTCTGAACTCTCTTTACAGAAAGGACTCATCTTCTCAGGGCTTTTTCCAGCAAATTCTCCACAAATACCCCCATGTGCCCCACACGACTGGTACCTTGTGGCAGGGATCAACAGTGCAGATCTCACTGATCTCCAGGTCGTGCAGGGACATGAGGAGCTCTGCCCTGAGCGTGCAGTAGTGGACGTTCCTGGTGCGCAGGAACAGCGTCCTGAGGAACTGCAGCACCATGTCATAGAGCTTCACGTTCTTCCCGATCATCTGCGTCAGCTTCTGCACCACCTGAGCTCAGGGGGAAACGTGGGCTCAGCACCACGAGGTGCTCTCATTCTACACACACACAAATGTTAATTCATTATCTAAGGTGATTTACCAAGATTGAAACATCTGCAGGGACATGAGGTCCTGAAGAGGAACTGTTTACCCCAAGTTTTCCAAGAGCATTTGTTCAAGACATTCACCAAATCTTCAACAACCACAACCTGGTTTTGGCTCAACTAATTTCTTTTTTCTACCCTTCTGATTCTCCTCCCATCCCCTCAGGGGAGTGACCAAGTGGAGGTGTGGTGCTGAGTGTCCTGCTCTGCAGTGCAAACCTGGAGTAAATTGCACCAGGGCACCTACACCAAATGATTCCGAAAGCATAACAGGCCTAAAACAACCCCTCATGTAACAGATGTGCTGCCCTCTCTGAAATTAAAGCTTTATACTGCCTTAATTTAATTCAACTTTTCTGGATGCCAATTAACTACAACTTTCTACATCCTTAAAAAAAATAAAGGCAACTTCAGTTAAGCTATGTCCACTAAAAAAGTTCCCAAGAAAGCAAATTTAACATATCAGCATACTCAAACTGATGTGGTAAGAGATGCTCAACCTTAAGAACAGCTGAAGTGAATTAAAACCAGACTGACCAACAGAGAAAAAAATCTGTCCTTTCTTTTTTTGAAGTGCATAAACAGCTTAGAACATTCATCATTTATTACACAACAACTGAAATAATTCCTGCTGGTTTTCATCAAGATGTGTAGGAGAAAATGGCCTGGTGTTCCTTGCAAAGAGTTTGTCCAGCTAAACAACTTCAGCAGTGAAAGTGGGCAGAAGAAACCAGCCCAGGTTATGTGATGGTTGATTGAAAGCTGATAAATTCCCCTCACACACACTGTGAGGGTTTCCTTGTCCTTACCTCTCCTTGACGTCTTGTTTTGGGAGATGGACTGAAGAAATTTTGCAAGAAGGAAATATCATTGCTGAAGAGAATGTTCTCCTTCTCCAGGATGTATTGCTTCAGCAGGGGTGACACCTCATCCCCAAAGAGAGCCTGGTTGTCCTGCCAGATCTGTCTCTTCACCTCCACAGCACAGGCCTTGTACAGGTCCTTATCAGCCATCACCAGCTTCAGCTTCTTCTCAGGGACCTGCAATCCCCAGAGCAGTTACACAGTGAGCAGCACCTCACCTGCCTGCCTGCCCATGTAACCATCCAAATCATGGAATCACAGAATTTCCTGAGCTGGGAGGGACCCACAGGGATCCCCCAGGCCAGCCCCTGTCCCTGCCCAGAGCCCCCAGCAACCCCAGCCTGGGCATCCCTGGCAGCGCTGCCCAAAGGCTCCTGGAGCTCTGGCAGCCTCGGGGCCGTGCCCATTCCCTGGGGAGCCTGGGCAGTGCCAGCACCCTCTGGGGGAAGAACCTTGCCCTGAGCTCAGCCTGAGCTGCCCTGGCCCAGCCCCAGCCGTGCCCTGGCTCCTGTCCCTGGCCCAGAGCAGAGATGGGAGCTGCCCCTCGGGAGGAGCTGCAGCCCCGGGGAGCTCTGCCCTCACTCTGCTCCAGCTGAACAACCCCAGAGCCCTCAGCTGCTCCTCACAGCCCCTCCAGACGCTTCCCCATCCTTTTAGCATTTTCCAATAGCTTTGGATGTTTTTTTGTCTTGTGCCCAAGCAGCCCCAGGACTCAAGGTGAGGCTGCCCCAGCACAGAGCAGAGCAGGACAATCCTCTCCATGCCCTGATCCCCACCTCAGGCAGCCTGGGCATTCACCCACCTGGTGTAGCAGTAGAGCAGCCCTAAGAGACTTCAACAACCAAATCACAAACCATTAATTCTTTCAAGGAAGAAAAAAAGATCCACTTTAAATCTCCAGTGCTGAGATTTGAGGTGATATTCAAACTCAGTAATTTACTGAAGTTCCAGCAGCATTTTGAGTCCATTACCTTGAGTGCAACATGATGCTTTTAGTAAGGACACTCCTAAAGATTTTTGTTTCACAGATCTGATTCTCCCTCCTGCCTACTTTTAATTGCACTCTTCAAGTCTTACCTTCCACTTGTCAGAGATTTGTAAAACAGCTGTGGAAAAATTCACCTATCAGCAAACCTGGCTTTTTAGGAAGCTGCATGGATTGAAGGAAATAGGGAAATAGTCTTGTCTGATTATGAAAATGTGAAATGTTTTTTGAATTAATCCACTGAGCTATTAGCAGACACAAGAATGTACTGAATCCTCAGTCAGTCCCTGACACTGAACAACACACGTGCAGAAGGTGCAGAGGGAGCAGAGCCCACCTGCCAGAGGCACACCAGAGATGTCACACCAGTGCCACACCAGTGACACACCACATCACACCAGGCCAAGCAGTGCAATGCTCCCACCTTGGGCAAGTGCTTCATGACACACATGACTACGGGCTGTATCGAGGGCATCTTGACCAGGGAAAAGCTCTTCTCTAGGAGATCTTCCAGCTTCTTGTATCTGAAATCATGGAAAAACACCACACTAGGTACCATGCAGCAGTAAAGGAACAAAGTGGCCACCTGAAAGCCACTGGAGTCCTGAGGAACCTCTGGAGAAGTCACCCATGCACGGAACTTTCACACAGAACTCCCAGCTCACTCCAAGGAACCAAGGACGCTGCTGACAAACCTCTCCTCGACCTTCCCCTCCAAAGCGATGGCAGACACTCTCTCCAGCAGCTTCTCCCGCAGCTCATCGAACACGGACTGGTGGAACTCGAGCCGGGGGGTGCCGTGCAGGTCCAGGAAGGGCAGGGCATACTGCAGCGAGGGCAGCAGCACCCCGTTCTCCGTCTGCAACACAGCCAGAGGCAACTGACAGCGGCACTCGGGATAGCAAATAAAGCCAGGAAAAGCCCAGACAGCACTGGGGGCCGTGCCCTGCTCCCTGTCTCCGCTCAGCCCGGCCCCACACAGCCTCTAACGCACCTGGAACTGCTCGATGGCCTTCAGCGGCTCCGTGCAGTTCGTGAGGGTCTCCTTGAGATCCTCGCCGTTGGCCACTCCCAGCTCCTGCAGCCCCGCGTACATGTCGGCCTGGCCGGGCCCGCGGGGCCGCTCCTGGCTCAGATCCCGATCCCGATCCCGCTCCCGATCCCGGCTCAGATCCCGCTCCCGGTCCCGGCCCCGGTCCCGCCTCAGCTCCCGCCCCGGCTCCGCGCGGTCCGCCCCAGCCCGCCCCCGCCGGGCGCGGGCCCCGCGCCGCAGCACCAAGGTTCCGGCGCACCAAGGTTCCGCGGGCGCTGCCCTGGCTGTTCCCGGGCTCCCTCCGGCCCGAGGAGCTCGGTGCGGCTCGCTGAGCGCCGGGCAGGGCGGACGGGGCTCAAGGAGCCTTTGGACAGCGCTGTCAGGCACATGGAATCACAGAATGATGGAATTGTTCGGGTTGGAAGGGACCACAGAGGGTCATCCGGGCCCACCTTCTTTTCCAAGCAGGGCCATCCCAGAGCACAGGGCACAGGATCGTGTCCAGACAGTTCTGGAATATCTCCGGCGAGGGAGACTCCACACCCTGTCTGGGCTGTCTGTTCAGTGCTTGGTCACCCACACAGGAAAGAAATTCTTCCCCGTGTTTGGGTGGAACTCCCTGGGTGTCAGTGCTGCCTCTTGTCCACTGCTGGGCACCAGCAGAGTCTGGTCCATGCTCTGACACTGCCCTTAGACACTCATACACATCGATGAGCTCCCCTCTGGGCTATCACTTCTCCAGGCTGAACAGGCCCAGCTCCCTCAGCCTTTCCTCACAAGAGAAATGTTCCAGAGCCTTGACCAACTCAGCAGCTCTCTGCAGGACCTGCTCCAGGAGCTTCCACATGGTGGGACTCATGGGGTGTCCTATGCAGGGCCAGGGGTTGGACTCAATCCTTATGGGTCACTTCCAACCCGAGAGATTCTGTGATTCCATGTTCCTGTGCAGGGCCAGGGGTTGGACTCAATCCTTATGGGTCACTTCCAACCCGAGAGATTCTGTGATTCCATGTTCCTGTGCAGGGCCAGGGGTTGGACTTGGTCCTTGTGGGTCACTTCCAGCCTGGGAGATTCTGTGATTCCATGTTCCTATGCAGCAAAACTCAGGGTTCTTGGGGATGTCTGAGGCTTCCCTCATCATGGGCATACAGCAATGAAAAGAGGAAGCATCACCAAAAACAGAGAAGTGGCCTTTTTCCATTCCTGGTTTGATTTTCAGATCCATGACCAGTCTGTGGACATGAGCAATCAGCCAAATGCCTCAGTGTGAGCAGCCACAGAGTTTTCTTCACAATTTCCATTTGCAGGGATGAGACTTTGTGGCACTGTCAGGAGAAAGCAGGCATGTATTTCATGAAGCCTGAGCCTTGGTTATTTTCCACAGGGAGGCTGTCAGGAAGTGGGGCTCAATCCCTCAGGAATAAAGTAAATCCAATGACAAGCAGTTTCCCCGCTTCTAATGTGGAAGCTCACACTGCCAGACGTGGAATACCAAAGGGATGAGTTTTGGCTGCTTTCTGCTCATTACCCAGCTGAGTTAAGCCCACGTTTGTGTTTACCTCAGCCCCGCTGCCTGGGGCAGTTTCGAGGCTGCAGCGGTGCCGTTGCACAGCTCGCCCTGGGACGGGCACGGAGCCCTCCTGTTATGTCTGGGCAGCAGGGATGGAAGGGAAAGCAGAGCAGCCTGACACATCACAGCCAGGCCCACGCTCCCTGTGGTCCCTGTGGCTTGGGGCTGGGCTGAACTCAGAGCCTGGCCCCGGCCACGCCTTTCTGCTCTTTTTAAAGGGTGTAGAAGAGCCGGGTTGCTGTGCCCTGCTCCCTCTGTGGGGAGAGGAGAGCGCTCTTCATGTCCTGGCGAGAGCTGCTGCCCCCCTGGCTGGTGATCGTGGCGGGGCTGACGGGCATCGTGCTGCTCTGTGTCTCCACCAAAGATGTGCCTGTGGCCCCTCTCAGGACCAAGGTAAGGGCTCTCCAAGGGAGGAGACAAGCAGCTAAGCTGGGCTGATTTGTTGCTTTTGACATTATTTTATTATTGAGCTGCTTACAAACCGAGGAGGGAACTGGGACAAGACTGTCAGGACAGGTTGGCATCTTTTAACATGCTGTAGGTTTTCAAACCAGAAACAAACCCACCACTTTGATTGGTCAGGGAATACAGGCTGGATATGGTCCATGGATCTGAGGAGATGCTCAGGGCAGGCTGAGGGGAGGCAGCCCATGGCAGGAGCTGACCCAGAGCAACAAAGAACCAGTGGTGTCAGTGCAGGGAAGTGCTAGGTCCCGCTCCAAAGTCAGTAGGAATGTGCCCCTGAACTGCTGCTTCTGTCCTAAAAACAAATTGTCTTTCATGCCTTCTTCTCTTTGGTCCTATCTTGATTTCAATCAAAGAGCCAGTGTTCTCCTCACAGCTGGGTCAGGCTGGGGGGGTTAATGCCCACCTGCTGTCTCTTGATGCTCCCGTTGCTGAGGTGAGCTCAGTGGCACACCATGGTTTAACCCTATCCTGTGTATTTAGAGATAGCAGCCCTCCTCCATGTTCCTCTCAGAAACAAGTCTGGATTAAAAACCCTTTATTGCTCCTTGTTCTGTCCTTTCCTGGTGTTGAGCTGGACATAAATGTGGTGATCCCTCCCCTTCTCCCTTGCGCTCCCAGCAGCAGCCTCTAATTTTCTGAAGGAGGAAAAAAAAAATCCATATTTCTCCACCAATGCCATTCCTTTCTTCCTCTTCTGCAGCAGCCAACATGTCCCTGCTAGAAACCCGAGCTGTCACTGGTGTGGGAGGGTGCCAGCAGGCTCGGGCAGGGAGCTCCAGCTCCTTCCCTTCCGCATTGCTGCTCCAGCCCAGCCCCAGCCCCTGGCCTGGGTGCCTGGACTGGTGCAACTGGGAGCTCCAGGAGGGCAGCAGGCAGCCAGCCTCACTGAGAGCCTGCAGCCAGCTCAGTCTGGTGCTGAAACCCTTCTGGTGGCATTAACATCAACCTCTCAGGAGGTTTCTCCTCCCACTCAGTCACAGCTCCATTTGTGTGTGAGATCCAGCTTTGACCACACACTGCCATGCAGCTCATGGGTTTCCTTCCTCTCTGGGTAGGAGATATCCCAAACTGGGGTCATGTAATAGGAGCAGAGGAGCCCCAGGCTAGCTCTGGAGCTATTTTGGATGTGGGGACATCCAGAGCTGTGCTGCAGGGTAGTCCAGTGGCCTCCACTTGCTCATCATATACTGAGAGCAGCAAGGCTGGGTCAGCAGCAAACAGACAAACACTGGGGACAAAGAGACAGAGAGCTGCCAGGGGACAAGGGGCTGAGCTGCTCACGTCCACTGCTGCTGCTCTTCCTGCCAAGACATCATCTCTGTCTCTGAGGGCTGCTGTGCTGTACAGTGTCTGTGCTGGTTGCTGCAGCTCCCACAGCTCTGCACACATCAGGGCAAACCTAGCCTGTGTCACACCATCACTGCAGTGGGACATCAAAGAGACACAGGGCTCTTTGGGACAAGTGAGCTGCAGCCCTCCAATCCCTGCACAAAAGACTGAGCAAACCAATCAGCAGCAGTTTGAATCCCAGAATCCATGGAGAACTCGTACAGTGCCATCTCCCACTGCTTTAGGACCTGTTTTTCCTGAGCTCCAGGTGGCTCAGCTCTCAGGAGCAGCCCTCTTCCTGGTTTCAGGAGCAGCTCCAGCACATGCCACTGTAGGGCTGATGTATTTCTGGGCATTTCTCCACTCCTGCTGTTCCTCATATATATTCAGAAATGCAGATGGTTCCCTGCAAATCCTCATCATCTTCTGGCTTTGGCTGCTCTTTGAATGTAACAAGCAAACTCAAACACTGCAGTGCAGCCCAGGGGTCACCCAGAATACTCTATATGCTGGGTAACCCTACAATATCAATCAGCATGCATTCAGTAGTGGTTTTCAGTAGAATGTTCTGGGGTTTTTCCAGTATGGCATTGTTCTGGATGCTGGCCCATCCCACACCATCCTCTTCATCTACCAGTGGACAACCACCAAGGCAAATGAGACCGGGGTGATCAGAGGATGCAGTTCCTGTCCTGTGCAAGGTAAGGTGCCCATTTCCTGCTCAGTGGTCTGTGAGACTGCCATGGGATGGATGGAAAAACAGAGACCTGTGCATGGACCAGTGCCACAAATTCCTTGGCTCCTGCACCACCCAGCTGTGCACAGAAATGGTGAAGCACAAGTTGCTTCTTTTCAGCATGGCTCTTCTCCACTGGGCAGATTTAGCCACACACAGCTGGACATCAGGCACTTGGCAGTAGCAGTGTCAGGATTTTGGGGCTGCTGCAGGCAGGGAAGCATGCAGAGGGGATGTGCTTGTCCTGATGTCCACATGGATCAGTGGTAGAACCAAGGCTGCTGGAGCTTCTCACCCAGGAGAGGCAGTGAACAGCAATGGAGACAAATCTGACTGCAGGATGACTCCTGGTGTCTTCTTCCTCCTCCTGACTGTGCCATGGGCAGTGAATAGGGTAGCTCCAGGACAACAGAGCTTGAAAATTGAAAAGACTCCAATCCCCTATATGGCATTTGACAGCACAAGCATGAGTTCAGCTTGCCTTTAGGTGTCCAATTTCAGAGAATTTGGGGGTTTTCCTCACAAATTTAAATCAGTTTGGCCCTGCCAATGCCAGCTGAGAGGGTTTCATGCATTAATGCATGGGGTTTTCCTTCCCTATCTCCTAATCTTGCTTTGATGTTGAAGCCTGGTTGTAGTGGGATGCTGGGAAGGACTGAGCCCTCAGCAGCAGTGTGCTGTGGGAGGGCAGCTGCACAGCAAGCAGGGAACAGGGTTTGTGCCCTTGCAGGCTGTAAACAACACAAATCACACACAGAAGATGCAAGAAGGGCTCCGAAACCTTGTTCATGTCCCTCATTCAGTGGCTGGGTTAAGCAGCAGCTCTGTGAGGCAGTTTGCTGCCAGCAGCAGCACAAGAGGCCCAGGCAGGGCTGGAGCCCAGGTGTGAGTGGCCCTGCCTGCATGGCAGCACAGCCACAGAGAGCAAAGCACCTGCTGAGGGAATCAGGAGGGTGGGGAAGGGACACTCTTCCTGGGTAGTAGTTCAAAACCAACATTTAA